TAGAGAATATAGCACCTTTCGGGTTATAAAAAGTTCAATTAATTATTTTGCCAGTTGAATTACTGCATAACGAAACGATTGATTCTGATTGATTAAATATTGTACTTACAATTAGAGGATTAATAAGATTTCGCGTTTAAACAGCCTCATTGGTTATTCATTGATGTTGAAATTAAAATTTAAATTTATACGGTACCTGTGTTTAAATGTAATAAAGATAACTGATCGTGTATTAAATTACAGCTGATGTTTTAATTATTATTTAAGGGTAGTATTATTTTCATAATTGGATTGCTGGTTAATAATTACAGTTTTAATATAGATCTGCTACTTTTTTATTTTTAGTGCATTTTTTGCAATTTTCAGGATGATTCTATAGTTTCAAATTTTTACATTTTCTAATATCCATCTGAGAATTGAAGAATTTGGGAATTTGGGGATTTGGAGATTTGACAATTCTGGAATTTGGGGATTTAGGAATTTGGAGATTTAGGGATGTGGAGAATTAGGGATTTGGAGAATTAGGGATTTGGAGAATTAGGGATTTGGAAATTCGGGGATTTGGAGATTCGGGGATTTGAACATTTAGGGATTTGGATATTTAGGGATTTGGATATTTAGGGATTTGGAAAATTAGGGTTTTGGAGAATTGGTGATTTGGAAATTCGGGGATTTGGGAATTTGAAGATGTAGTGATCTGGAGATTTAGGGATTTGGAGAATTAGGGATTTGGAAATTTAGGGATTTGGAGATTTAGGGATATGGAGAATTAGGGGATTTGGAAATTTAGGGATTTGGAAAATTAGGGATTTGGAGAATTAGGGATTTGGAGAATGTGGGATTTGGAGAATGAGGGTTTTGGAGAATTAGGGTTTTGGAGAATTAGGGTTTTAGAGAATTGGGGATTTGAAGATTTAGGAATTTGGAAATTTAGGAATTGAAGAATTTGGGGATTTGGGGATTTGCAGATTTGAAGATATAGGCATTTGGAAATTTGGGAATTGGAGAATTTGGGGATTTGGAAGTCTGGGAATTGAAGAATTTAAAGATTTGAAGATTTGGAAATTTGACAGTTCAGGAATTTGGTTATTTAGAGATTTGGGGATTTAAGGTTTTGGAAGTTTGGGAATTTAAAAATTTAGATTTGATAATTCAGGAATTTAAGGATTTGATTTGTGAAATCCCTAAATCCCCACATTCCCAAATAATCAAAAGAAACTCGAAATCTCAGTACCGAAAAGTACAATTCACCGCGCACACCATTGGCCCTGATCCATCCGGGCACTAAATCTGCCCATCACATACTACCATCCACACGTTTCCTTCCGTATTTGAAAAGCGTTGCTCGCTAAAACGAATCACCGAGAGGTTCAGGCTAGCCAGTTTATCATCATCAAGCTGTTACTGTTATTCACTGTTCGGTCCCGGTATGGTCCTTCCTTTTTATTAGACAAGTGAGCGTAATTCTAGCGGGTAGACGGTACAGTCTGTTCACGCGATGGGTAAAATATTAATTATTTATAGTTAATTTCGAAGGTTGTAAATCTTCGTCGACCCATGGCGTTTCCACAACTTGTTACGGTAGTGGAATTATATGTAGAATTAGTATTATAGAGTAGAATTGATAGAGTGGCTCAGAGTCCTCCACACTGGTGTGCCCAGGTCATTGAAGGATGTTGATCATCATCCCACTAGTTGTAATGATTGTTGTGTGTTAAAGTCGTTGATAGTGACGAAGTTAATGTAAGACTGACCGAAGTAAGTATATTCTAAGGAAGCTGAATTAAGACTGACTCGTCGCTTCTAAACAGCCAGAAAAGAAAGCAATGCAGAAGGTTCAGGACGTGAAGGCGTTACCAAAAAAGGCCAATCAGGACAGATTGTTATTTGTGAAAAATACTGATTGGTGAGATGGTTTAGCGAATGGGATTGTAAGATTTTTAGCCTTTATTCCAGGGTTGTAAATTACATTTTGTTAACAAAGTAACCCAAAGCAATTGAGTGATTTGGGTCCTTCAAAGGAAATAATAAATGGACACCATGTGTTTATCATCGGAGTTCGAGCGCGTAGGCCCATTTTATTGGGGTGCTCAGTTTAGGACCATGGAAACAAACCTCTTTAAGAAAAGGTATATTGGTGTTAAGAAAGTGTGCTTTTCTGGCCTGTTAGAAGGTTATTGTCAATAGTTAAGTGCGTCAAGCTGTGGAGACGTTCATATGGTCTTAAATATCAGTTTAAAATTGCAAAGGTTAAACCTTTTTTGGGCTTGACAAAATACCCATAAATATTACGTTAATAATATTCCGAGCAACTCGGAACACAGTCATCGTCGTCGTGGTCGTTTCAGCGGCGAGCGAAAGCTTGCTCGGCTCTGAGATTTAATTTGCGACCCCTTTAACCGCGGCCGTGAACGGTAAGCTCGATGGCCATGTCTGCGAGGAAATGAACGCAGCTGGTCGAAAGGAAACGACCTGGCGAACGCCATGAAATGACGGGCGTAAATTTTACTTTGTAACGTGCATCTAACTGGCTACCATCTGTCCGCGCTTCGAAATTAATCGTTACACCCTGCTCTCGAAATGGTAAACTCGAATATTCGCCGGGGAAACACAGGAAAAATGATGTGGAAGGCTGACTACAAAGGGGATGGTTGCGAAACTGCTGGAACATTCAAGGTCGTCAGAGAACGAAAAAATTATATATTCAAATTTACAAGCTGTTCACCGTCAAACTTTATCGATATATAAGTAAAAAGATTATTAACCACATAATCACATCGTAAGTTTTTACAGTTTTATATTTGTGGAATTGTGAATTACTGTATTTTTTAAATTTTGCGTTTCTAGATTTTGGGATTTTTAGGTTTTTGGGATTTGTGAATTTTGGGATTTGAAGAATTGGAGATTTGTGGATTTTGGGATTTGAAGAATTGGAGATTTGTAGAATTTGGAATTTGTAGATTTAGGGATTTGTAGAATTTGGAATTTGTAGATTTAGCGATTTGTAGAATTTGGAATTTATAGAGTTGGGGATTTGCAAAGTTAGGGACTTGTAGATTTGGGGATTTGTAGAATTCGGAATTTGTAGGATTAGGGACTTGTAGAATTTGGAATTTATAGCATTTGGAATTTGAAGAATTTGGAATTTGTAGATTTTGGGATTTGTAAAATTCAGAATTAGTAGATTTTAGGATTTGTAGATTTCGGGATTTGAAGAATTGTAGATTTACAGAATTTGAAATTTTGTGAATTTGGGGATTTGTAGTATTTGGAATTTGTAGAATTAGGGACTTGTAGATTTCAGGATTTGTAGAATTTAGAATTGGTAGAATTCGAAATTTGTAAAATTTGGAATTTGTAGATTTTGAGGTTTATAGAATTCGAAATTTGTAAAATTTGGAGTTTGTAGTTTTAGGGATTTATGAACCTGGGAATTTGTAGAATTTGAAATTTGTATATGTGGGGATTTGAAGATTTTGGGATTTGTAGAATTCGGAACTTACAGATTTGGGGGTTTATAAAATTAGTTATAAAACCACATAACCTACAATTTTCTAGGCAGTCGCATCATTGCTGCAATTCGAAAACAAATGAAAATTGAAAAGTTAGGCAATTAAGTTATATTCAATTATCCTTGATTTTAAATACTATAATCAGAGTTGAACACAAAATTCAATTGTGATGAAAATAAGTCTCGTTTGCCACATATGACCTGTATGTGCGACATAGTGCGTCACAAGTGCGTTACGATATCATAGGACAAAATTTCGTGTTTTTATATGCATATATGTTATATATCTTAATTTCCTCGTTATCGTTAATTTTATCATGAAAAGTTATACATTTTTATTATTGGGAAATTATTTGATGAAATATCTTTGCGTACGGGGGTTTCATGGGGAAGTCCTGGTGGATTTGGAAAAAAGGTATGCAACGCTGTGATTGTGGATTAAAATTTGACGAGTCCCAAAGGGAATCGTTTGTCCGTGTAAAACTGATGTAAATATTTTATTTTGCATGGTTTACATCGATTTACACCTGTGTGTAATTATTGACACTTCTTTTCTCTTTTCATAAACCGGCTTGAAATTCGTTTTAATAATGAATAACATTGATGTAGATATTAATTGTATTTGTGAAAATCGTTCACTTTACTGAAAAACATTTGAAATGAATTATGGGCAATCTATTTGTTGTTCAGACTATATATGAAGGTAAATTAATGTTCCTTTGTGCGACAAACGGATATTAAATTTTTAGAATTGATCGAATTTATTTTATGATCACTTTTGTTTTCTGAAAAATAGCTTACAATTGTATGCATATCTTCTTTTGTTGGATTTGATGTTATGAAAAACTGTTTGATTATATCACGAAATTTATTGCGTCGATTTGGAGTTTGAAATTTAATTAAATTAAATTTATTAAATTTATTAAATTTAATTTAATTAAATTTGCTGTAATTCTGAAATGGTTAATTTTTTATTGACAAACAATAGCAATTTGCAGTTCAATATTTAACGTATCATCCTGTTATATTGAAAATATTAATAAAATCTTTATATAAACATTTTGGTTAAACCTTCAACTTCAAGATACTGTATCATAATTACTATTTTATATCTTCACCTACGTCATTAAATTATATGAATCTTCATATCTTTTTAAATTAGACACTCCTTGCTGTATCCAGTAGTCAGCCATTTTGTATTAAAAACATCAGAGAACATAAACTGCTAATATTTCCAAATTTTCGTCAGACTTTAAGCTTCAATTTGATACAGAATAGGTATTGTATCGATAACTCCGTGACCAAATTACGTGAGACTTTCCACGTTCAGATCAATCGATAACCTAATATTAATAACAAAAACCATGGAAGCAAGTTTCACAACGGTTTTCCATGAAAAAAGTTCCCCTCCACAAAGTTTCGCGTGCAACAGTTGTGCAATCAAGTCGAACACAATTAATCACGGTGGCGTAACGCGTTTCTTTTCCAGGTGGTTGTGGAGAGTTCGACCCTGGCACTGGAGTACGGCGACCTGGAGATCGATCCAGATTCCCCGGTGAACCCGGACCTGTTGTTCGATTCCCAGCTGATGCACCTGTACGTGATGACAGAGAAAACGGTGTCCAAGGTCAAAGTGCAGGAATGTTCCGTGTACAAGACCTGTCTGGACTGTCTGGGAGCTAAGGATCCGTACTGTGGTTGGTGTTCGTTGGAGAACAAATGTAATCTGCGCAGCGATTGTCAGGATGCTGCGAAGGATCCTCTCTATTGGATCTCTTACAAAAGCGGCAGGTGCACGACCATCACGACCGTCACACCGGATCAACTGCAACGCACGACTGCTAGAACACTGGAGCTGGTGATCGAGAACCTGCCAACGCTCTCGGGACAATTTCTCTGCGCTTTCTCCACCCTGGACAAAACTCTGATCACGAACGCCTCGAGGAAATCCTTCGGAGTGAATTGCACCACGCCAAGAACCGACTTGTTACCGTCAATCCCGCCTGGACAACATCACTTCACCGCAAAATTGTCCGTCAGGATGACCAACGGACCCGATCTCGTTGACACCAATTTCACGTTCTTCGACTGCAACACGTACAGCTCCTGCACGCAGTGTGTCTCCTCGAGCTTCCCCTGTGATTGGTGCGTGGATGGACACAGATGCACTCATGACACGGCGGAGAACTGTCGGAATGATATATTAGTCACCGGAGTTAGCGTAAGTGGATATTTGCTTTAATCAAATTCTCGATCTCTTGACATGTACTTAGATACCCTCACCTTTTCCTTAACCTAGATCTTCCAAAAGTACACTGACCTCTTCAAAATAAATCAATAAAACAGTTCAATTTACATGTTACAGAGGATGGGTCCAAGTTACAGAAGCGGTCCAGCATTTTGTCCCACGTTGAACGCCACCGGATCCCCGGAAATCCTGGTTTCTGCCGGTGTGAGCACCGCGATTAAAGTCAAAGTGCACATCATAGGGGTAAGAAACAGCTATCATCCATTTCACGCTAATGGCGTCACATTAATTTCCAACGTTTTCACGTATCGTTAGCGGCTCTTTCACCGGGTGCTCATTGCCGGGAAGAATGATTGACGTCTAACCTCCGTATTTTCCAGCAATTCATCGTGCAGACCCGGTTCGTGTGTCAGTTCAACATCGAGGGTCGTGTGACCAGCGTGAATGCACGTTTATTGGCAGACACGATTTACTGCGACGAGACCGAGTTTTCGTACACGTCCCGTGCGGCGAACATCACCGTGCCCTTCGCCGTCATCTGGGGCGGCTCGAAGCCCCTGGACAACCCGCAGAACCTCCATCTTGTGATCTACCGGTGTCGCGACATGGCCGAAAATTGCGGAATGTGTCTAGCACTTGCGCCCAAGTACGATTGCGGATGGTGCCAGAGCACGGACAGGTGCGAGGTGAAGGACAACTGCGAACGCGACACAGGCATGTGGTTGAACAGCAATCAGACCTGTCCGAATCCTGAGATACACTCGTTCGAGCCGATGATGGGACCTTGGGAAGGTAACACGAACGTGACGATACGCGGCATCAACCTGGGCAAAACATTCAAGGTAAGAAGAATTGTCTTGGATCGCCTTCTGCGATCTTCTTTCAGCTGCGATTAACTTGCGACCGATAGGGTGAGCTACTCATTGCGTAACTGAAATCTTTCTTAATCATCTTCACACAAATATGTTCGTTATTTATGATTTTGTCGAAAAGTTAGACTATTCTGAATTTTATACCTGAGAGTGAAGAGTGTGTTTCCTCAAGGTCATTTGTTGCCAGTGAGATTTCAAGGTTGTCTGTGACACTTTCTTCATGAAATCATAAATAATGGAGGTGTTCAGGTGAATCCTTAAATAGACCACTCTGTGGTGTCCACATGTGGTTTTTTAGTATAACTTCCTTAATTTCATTGCACGTGTAAAGAAAAATATTGCCTACGTTGTTATCAAGTATTGACTAAGGTAGTCACACGAAAATATGCACTTCCTGTAATATCTAGCATGGTTACACCTAGAGCAATGCCAACGTTTAAACTCTGTCTACTGTTCAAATTAACAGTACCAAATTAAGAACTTGATCGGAACACAAAACTGATTTCTTTCAGGACATCTATCGCAGCGTAATGGTTGGTGGAATGCAATGTCAGCCGTACGAAGAGCTGTACATGCGGACAAAGCAGATAGTCTGTCGAGTGGATGGTCCAGGTACAATGGAGGTGAAACGACGTGGACCGGTGATTGTGAAGATCGAGGACTTCCGGGGTCAGTCAGAGTACAACTTCGAGTTTGTGGATCCGCGGATTCTGAACATATCCCCGAAGTATGGGCCGATGAGCGGGGGCACTACTGTGAGAATCACCGGCAACTACATGAACGCTGGTAGCACCATTAAAGCGTTCATCGACGAGCTACCGTGTTCCATAATCAGTGCCGAGATGCACGAAGCGCTATGCATGACGAGCGCCAGTAATCGTACAAGAAACGGTGTGCTGAAGATGGTATTCGACGGTGCGTACCGAATCTACGACGGCTACTTCGAGTACGTGGATGACCCAAGGATCAAGAGCGTAGAGAGCGGAGTGGCTGGTCAGATGAAGATCGCGAAAGGTATCCCAGCCGGAGGCATCAAGATCTCCGTCACCGGGAAGAACCTCGGCTATATCCAGAGTCCGCAGATGTACGTGTACTACGACGAAAAGATGTTCGTGTCGCAGTGCGAGGTGCACAGCCAGGAGAGCATGATCTGCAAGTCGCCGACCATCGAGGTGCCCGAACATGAGGTGCTGGACGCGGAGAAACCGTTGATGTTGGAGTACGGTTTCCGCATGGACAACGTAACGGCTGTGCAGAATTTGTCGCGACACGGCTTCCAACACTTTCTGCTCTACCCGAATCCCATCTACGAAATGTTCGACGAAGAGATCAAGTACTATAAGAGCGACTATCTGACCATTAACGGGCAGCACCTTGATCGAGCCTGCCAGGAATCTGACGTGACCGTGCAGATAGGCAACGCGTTCTGTAACGTCACATCTCTGTCGAGGCAACAGCTCACATGTAGACCGCCCTTGACCCAGCCACCGGCCATAGACGCCTATGGCTCCCCGAACAAACAAGAACTGCCCGAGGTGATCGTGATCGTGGGCGGCACGCTTCATTACAAGATCGGGAAACTGAGCTACGCATTGCCAGCCGGTCTTAACGGGCCTCTATCGAAACCGGCTCTGATCGGCGTAATAGCCGCTATAGTAATTCTGGTATTCGTGTTCATCGCCTTCCTCATTGCTTATCGACGCAAGTCTACCGAGAGCAACCGGGTATTGAAAAACATGCAGGAGCAAATGGATATTTTAGAGCTTCGAGTCGCCGCGGAATGCAAGGAGGCTTTCGCTGAACTGCAGACAGAGATGACTGACCTAACGGGAGATTTGACTAGTGGAGGCATACCATTTTTGGATTATCGCACTTATGCTATGATGATTTTGTTCCCAAGCGACGATAACAGCCCGGTTCTACAGTGGGACCGACCGGAACTGGCTCGTAAAGAGAAAGGATTGCGTCTGTTCGGACAACTGATAATGAACAAAACCTTCTTGCTTCTGTTTGTACGCACTCTGGAGAGTAATAGATACTTTTCCATGAGGGACAGAGTTAATGTGGCCAGTCTTATCATGGTCACGTTACAGAGCAAGATGGAATATTGTACGGATATCTTGAAGACCCTTCTCGCGGAACTGATAGAGAAATGCACGGAGGGAAAGAGTCATCCGAAGCTATTCCTTAGACGGTAAATTCTTTGTCCACACTTTTGCTAAAGTTTGTTAAGTCCTTATAATAGTGATTAATTTTGTGATCTGTTTCAGAACGGAGAGCGTGGCTGAAAAAATGCTGTCAGCCTGGTTCACTTTCCTTTTGTACAAATTCATGCGAGAATGTGCCGGAGAACCATTGTACGTGCTGTTTCGCGCTGTGAAACAACAAGTTGACAAAGGTCCCGTTGATGCCATCACGTCCGAGGCACGATATTCGTTGTCCGAAGAGAAGCTGATTAGGCAGTCCATCGACTTCAAACCAATGGTAAGATCTGTTTGAATGTTAACCATTAGACTTTCTTGAATTGCCTCCACTTCGGTAACCAATATACATCCACTTCTTCGTACAACGATCATTATTTGTTTGCCGACATGATGTGGCTCCTTCTAATGATGTGCTAATGAGAATACACACATCAACTCCCACTAGTGTACTCCAGCGAGTGGAGACGCAGTAAATTCAAATGTATTTGCCTGGCTGTACTATGGTATTCCTGCAAACAGCGAATATTTGCTAAAATCCTTCACGAGTCCCAAGTTCATACTGGTAGATCCTTGAGACCACATCATCCAAGTCTAAACTTGTACAATCACCACTCATAGTTACCACTTGTTATTTAACATTGATCTTGCAGACGGTCTACGTGTCAATATCCCAGCAAACGGTATTCGTCGGAGGTATGGATCCGAACACAGAAAACGTGCCCGTCAAAGTGCTAGACTGCGACACGATATCTCAAGTGAAAGAGAAGGCATTGGACACGATCTATAGGGCCACGCCTTACAGCCAAAGACCCAGGAAAGATGATCTCGATCTTGGTAAGCTTCCAAAATTTCCGAATAAATCACATTTATGGAATACGGTTCTATCGTAACGATTTGGTTCTAATAACAGAATGGCGGACCGGAGCATCCGGCAGACTGATCCTCTACGACGAGGATTCGACGACGAAGACGGAGGGCGAATGGAAGAAACGTAACACACTGAATCACTACAGGGTACCAGATGGAGCGTCGCTCAATTTAGTTTCCAAGCAGTCGTCGATCTACAATCTGTCGATCCTCTCGGAGAAGACCGACAAATCGCACAAATACGAGACACTGAATCTTAGTAAATTTAGTTCGGCTAGCCCCCCGTTGTCCCGCGCCACGTCACCATTGAATCAAAATCACGACGGTGGATTGAAGTGTTGGCATCTGGTTAAGCACCACGATTCCGACGTGCGAAAAGAAGGCGATCGCGGAAACAAGATGGTCTCCGAGATCTACCTGACGAGGTTACTAGCCACCAAAGGTACGCTCCAGAAATTCGTCGACGACTTGTTCGAAACGATCTTCAGCACTGCCCACCGAGGATCGGCTCTTCCCCTCGCTATCAAATATATGTTCGACTTCATGGACGACCAAGCTCTACAACATGGCATATCTGATCCTGAAGTTGTCCATACATGGAAGAGCAACTCACTCCCGCTTAGGTTTTGGGTAAATCTCATCAAGAACCCGAATTTCATCTTTGATATACACAAATCGAACATTGTCGACTCCTGTCTGTCCGTCGTCGCTCAAACATTCATGGACAGTTGTTCCACTTCGGATCATAGATTAGGTAAGTATTGTTTTATTGAATGTCTTGAATTTTTAATTTTTAACAATACTGACAATCTTCCTCGACATTTCAGGTAAGGACTCACCGAGTTCAAAGCTACTTTACGCAAAGGACATTCCAGTGTACAAAGAATGGGTAGAGCGTTATTATTCAGATATCAAAGTGATGCCAGCCATATCCGATCAAGACATGAACGCTATGCTTGCCGAAGAGTCTAGGGTACGTATTGTCATCCTAATCCTTCATCATAACTACATAGGGACTAAATGATAAGAATGAAAGTATAATGATAGATGCAAGTTCACCCAGTCTTGATTGCCAGTATTGATTGACGAAGTGTTAATGATCGAATATTATTTTTTGTAGTTGCACACGACGGAATTCAACACGAATTGCGCCCTGTACGAACTATACACGTACGCGGGTAAATACAACGAACAGCTGATAGTCACCCTGGAGGAGGACGAGTTCTCGCAGAAGCAAAGATTGGCATACAAGCTCGAACAGGTGCACAATATAATGGCGGCAGACAACCCCTGATGTACCATGAACTCTATGAAACATATGACAAAGCCCGCCCGCCAAGAGTTACCCTGCTGAATACTCTACCGCAGTTAGGTATTCTCGAGGAAGCACCAAGAGGACTGGCCTATCTTGTAATCGATCGTCTCAGGTTTCCGTGCAAGCCAGTTAACTCAGCTTAGTATGCGAATTATGCGAGAAGAAAGTTGCACAACGGACCGATAAAGCAAACAAGTTCCAACGGGAAGTTTATTAATTGTACACGAGGACTAAGTGTTTTTTTTTTCTTTGTGACGAAGTCTTCTGAATATTTGGTCGCCGACCAGGCAGGTGTGGCGACGATCACAGCGCATGATCCCACGCATAATTGTACATAAGATACCAAAATCACGATTAATTGTAATAGAATTATTGATGTGCGTTCGCCACCTGGCGGCGGCCGTAGCCACACAAACTGTAACGAAAGATTTCGCGCGTCAATCGTGTCCACGATCTTCTCCATCACGTGCCGCGATCGTCGGACAAAATTACAAACAAAAAAAGAACAAAAACACAAAACGAACGAAGTAATAGGACATTAGTGATATAAGTGAGTGAACGAATCAGCCGATCGATCCGATAAATTTGTAAATGTGTTTCGAAACGGTCGACCCGACCGTCGCTATCGGGACATCGGCGATTTTTAACGAAGAAACATTTCCATCCACCGCTACTAGCTGAAATTTTTTGAATTACGAACTGACGAATTTTAATAAATAAGATAATTAACGATTAACAATGATTAATTAAACAATATGGGTATATTATATATACATGGATGGTATGTCGTATGTATATGTGTACATATATACACTTTATACCGGCGCAAAAGTATGTGTGTATGTATATGCAGTATCCGGAGGACGAGCGCGCGTACAGTAACGGCGAGAACGTCGAATTATTTCTCGTCGCGTACAATCGTGGCGTAGAAAGAAGAAAAATATGGCATCGCAACAGCAATCCTCGTCCAATTTCTAAACGTGAGAGCTTCGCCAGTCGATTCGTCGATCGAGCAGACATATCGCCGTACTGTACGCACGCTACACATTACGCGTATTATTTATACTTACATGCATCCAAAAGGAAAAAAAAATGGAAGGAGTCATCCGCGAAATCGGGGACAGACTGTGTATTAGTTGATAGGTATTAATCTATGGACTATGGCCGCGCGCGAGGCCAGCTCGATGTGACGGTTGTGTTGAGTGTGCGTGCTTCCCCTCCTTGGTCTCCAGCTCATTGTCCCATTTTACCATTAATCGTTCGTTCTCATTGTCGTGCATTCATCGACCCGATGTTCACACCTTATCATTGTCGCTATTTCATATTCATCGGAAGAAAGGAGAAAAAAAAGATAATGATCCCTTGTCCTCGTGTCATCTTTATCACCCTCTCTATCTCTTTATATTACACGTAGTAAAGATGTTCCGCTATCGGGCGCCTCTTCTCTACTCTTTCTCATCATCCTAGGAATCCACATTTGTGCCACTCTCTATCTTCTCCCTTGTAATGCTTCAACGCCTCCGTCGTCATGTTGTTGTCACTCTTAATTATTGTAATATATAATGAATAACGATCACTGTTGAGTATTGTCTGATTGTAATACATTGATATTGAATTGATATGAATTGATAATCATTAATTAAAGCGTAACATTAAACTTTGTGGATGTAGCCATATTGGTATGGGTGGAAGTTCCACGAAAAATATTTAAAAAAAAAATAAGTAACACTGATACGAGTGAGAGTGGTGGGAAGCCGTTCGCGATGGACAGTGCTCGAAAACAAAAAAAAAGTAAAATAAATTCTTCATCGTAGAAAACGTATTACCCGCGCGTCGTTTTCAAGCGAATCGAATCGTGTGTTCGTTTTGTTCGCATACATATTGTATAGAGGGATCAAAAAGAAAAAGAAGAAAAAAACGACGTCATCGATTTCGAGAACCCTTTGCCAACAATTTTTTACAAATTCCGTAATCGTATCTTCCAAGATCTCATTGTTATACGTAGTCGACCATTGTAAACGCACATTAAATAAAAACCTGACAAGGTTCGTTACAAGACTTTTCGGATTCGCGTAGGGTAATTTCGACGATCAAGATTATATATTGTAAAAGAATTCATATCGCCGAAGGAGCTCTAGCCACAAGAGAGTTGCCTTCGAGGGTGCTGTCGACGCGAGCGGCTGGCAGCAAATGAGAATCGTTCGTGTATATGCGTGAGTGTGTCCCGTGCGTCAATTCAATGTGCAGTTGTCAGTGGAGAAAGTATTTATTGCTCAAAAAACATCGGAAGACCGTGTGTGGAAAGGTAAGGCAGCAGGGAAAGGTGCGGAGTTGGTAGGCTACGGGAAAGGAACGGGGGAGGGGGGGTTAAATGGCGAATAGGTGCGTGAAGAAAAAGCGGTGAACGTACGTAAAAGAAGACGACGACGAAGAAGAAGAAGACGAAGAAATAAATCATAGACAGGGTAACTGCGTCAAGCTCGAGACAAAAACGGTAGAAGCTCACGTCGTTCAGTCGCTCTGTATCGTTTGAAAAATTAAAAATACCTAAGGAAATAAATGAATAAAAATACGATTTAAAATGTAATAAAACGGAAATAACAAAAGGACTCGCAACGCCCTCCCCCGCGCACGCCGACTTCAAATGGTACTAATAAACCCAAAGTGCCTCTGGTAGATTTTTGGGCATAAGCTTGAGTAATAAAGACTACATAGCGTTTACTATAAAAGCACGACTACGACGCGATCGCTGATTGTAATAAAAAAAAAATGATGATAATAATAATTAAAAAATGGAAAAGAGAGAAGGAAAGGAAAAGGGGAGGAGATGCAAGTAAGAGGGAAACAAAAAGGTAACAGTGGGAAGGAGAGAGAGCGAGAGGATTAAAAAAAAGACAAATTAGAATGAAAGCAAGGGACGGGTAGCGCGTGTGACGAACGTGTACACGTGGCCTGCTTATCGAAACAAAATAATAAATAAATAACGGAAGGAAAAAAAAGAAAATCAAGCCGAAAGGCGGGCGGAGTGCGAGCGTACCCAAGTGTACGCGGTGCGTACGCTAATTACACGTTTAGATAGGTATACATATAGTCGGTAGCCTAGTCTCTATGTCAGTGTCTGCCCTGAGTGTCTTTCCCATGGTGTATCCCTATAAAGTGCGTGTACCTTGAACCTCCTGGCAAGCAGACGTGCAATTTCTCCTTAAATCAACACTTTCCCTCCCCCCCTCAGATTTATCCAAGTCTAAACGAAATAAAGAAAAAAAAAGAAAAAGAACGGAGAAACCGCCTCTCCCTTCTTCTACCAACATCCTCCTGCGCCAACTTATCACCCCCTTCCACCACCTTCCATCATCGTTATTATCATCATCGAAACACCACTCCCCCTCCCTTCTTCGTAAACGCGTTTAACTGTGCTCACACATCACGCGTCATTCGCCACACTACCGATCGGCACGTTTTGCTAAGTGAATATTAATTATTGTATCGATGGTTCCTCATTAATTATGGAATGTACGGATCCCAATTTGTAAAATTCGACTAAGTAAGGAGATGTGTATCGCCGTATCGTTCGTGCGTGGCTTGCTGCCCCCGGCAGTCTACTACCGTGTGTGATGAATCGTGTTTTCGTTTCTGAGTTTTTTTTTCTCTTTTTTTTCTACTGTAATTGTTTGAAGAGGATACCGTGCGCCTCTGTCGAATGCCTCTGTCGACGGATGACCATGTACGTATGAGCCATTACTTGAGGTCTTCTTGTTTTGCCCGCTTGTTTCTGCTCTAAGCAAATGGAACTGGCACCCTTGTTCGGTTAAGACGATCTCTGGACGAAGGGAGGGGATTTCAGAGAGATCGGATTGAGCAGAAAAAGATGACAAATAGAGAAGACTGAGAATGATAGATCATTGGAATGAAAGGTTGCATGAGTGTCTGTTGTGGATTGTGCAAGACTGAGAGAGGCAGCGGAGGGAGTTTGCCAATCAATCCGGGGTCGCTCCCTCGCCGCTCATTTTTACGTCGTAACAATTAATTATGATTATACATTGAGAAAGAAAGATAACGCATCCAGCAACACGATTACGTTACGTTTATAATAGTCATGTTCCTTTTCGATCAATAATTATTATTATTAATAAATCTATATCAACCTTGCTACATTATTTTATACTTGTTTTTATTTTCTTTCTTTTTTTAATCTTAATATATTAGATAAATATAAATATATATATAAATATATAAATAACGCCGTTTTTAAGTTATCCGATCTTTATTATTATTATTTTTGTATAAATGTGTGATTAATAGTACGGATAGTGTAATAATTTTGTATGTTTATTGAACCAAAAATAAATATTATTGATAAAGAATCATTTTTCCGGGAGTTCTTTTAACTCTCTGTTTCTTTATTTAGTGGACTGATCACAGTGTCGCCCGTGTCTTCCACTTTTTCCGGAGACTGCGGTGTGCTGCGCGATCGCAAACTCCTCGGTCCGATTGTGCTCAATATTACGGGCAGAAGGAACAGCCCATGCCAAAGACCAAATAATATCACCAAAACGAAGATCTTTAAGAACGCGTGAAGCACGTAACTTTCTGAGAATGCCATCATAGAAAGCGCGAGCAACGTTGAACCTGCACCGTATGCAACCGCTGCTCCAATGTATCTAACTGCTATGTGAGCTCTTTCTGTTCGATCTTCGCCTCCGGTTTCACTAGCAGCGTGCACAAAAGCATGTGCAACGTGAGCAGCATAGTCTACACATAATCCGATGCCCAATTCCAAACCTTGAAAAGAAATAATATCATTATTTGAATGTGGAGATAATTCCGTTAATGCACTGACTTTGAGCATTGAAATCTTCGAAACCGCCATGTTAAAAAATTTGAGAAAAGTGAATGTTGCGAAAGAGAAAACAACTCACCTATGCAAGATGCAATGTCTATGGTTAGACCCCAGAAATACATGAAACCGCAGACGTTCAAAAGTGTGAGAAGAACACACAAGAAGATCCAGAAGCAGGTTTGCAACTCGGCAATCAATAAGGCTGTCATTCCCATGACACAAATCAGAGCTAATAGGACATTACGCTGCACTTCTTGAGCAATTAATTTGTCCGTGACCCATAGGCTAAACACTTCACTCCACACCGTGACAAAACCATCGATTCCTACAGCACGAGCCACCAGTTTGCTATTATCCATCGCTGGGATCCACTGGTGAGGACCATGAAATCGTCTGAAGATGAAATCTATCGTAGATACTGCGATTGGCGGCGTATTTTCTCCGCATACTAAATCTCCGTTGAAACGGAAGTTCCGCTGATATTTTCCACCGTCTTTACTGAACAAGAATTTGGATAAATAATGGCGGAATTCTATGTCTCCAATGATTGTGTATCTCAAATCTAGAAACAAAATGTATTCGTGTATTCCTTGCATACCTTGAACCATCATCATTATTTTTAGCTATGAATATTGACCTTTTCCAAAAAATTGCAAGACAAATTTCGTGAAATCATGGGGCCATGACTTTAGACTTTCTACGGTTGATAGATTGGCGAATGTTTCCGCCAAAGATATTATTTTTGGAAATTCAGAGGTGTAATTAAAGTCTCCCATAAGAATTATTGCTTCATATCCACGCTCGGGATATTCGAGACGCATCATGTTGATATACTTGCTTAGATAGGAATGATCCGGTATAAACCAACGTGGATCAAACCACTGCTGTAATTGTAGTATACCCTTAATTCCGACAGATGCGATAATTACTGTTATTAATACTATCAATATCTTTCCAGGTTTTGTTAAAATCACATTCGAGTACAAGTAGGTTATCAATCTCGACGGAAGTTCCTCTTGAGGACTGACGAACTTTGGTGTGAAATTTTCGTGAACGATACATGGCAGTAACGCATTTCTCTTGTTCTCGATTCGTCGTGCGTCAAGAGTGAAGAACGCAACGTAAAATGTAATTTGAAATAAAAACGTCAGTAATACACCAAACGCTGCGTAAATACAAAATGACTGAAGGGACGGCAATATCTGTGAAGACAAATGATATTGTTACGTATAACGTTTAACAATACCTTTATTCAATTTTATGTAAAATTAATCTTACTGTAGATGCACCAATAATAAATGCAACAACGTCAGTAAGAGACGTAATACTAATGGCTGAGCCAGCGTGTCCTAACATTAAAGCTACTCTCTCCTCCAAGGGTTTATTTCTATTTTCTTTGTGCGCATGAATTTCTTTCCAGGATGCCATTATTAAGAAATTATCGTCTACGCCAAGAGCCAGCAACAGAAAAGGCAAAGACGTGTGTACTGGTCCATATGGAACTCCGAGAGCAGAACATACACTTATCGCAACTATGAAAGCACCACCCACACAGAATAGACCAACTACTGTGAGATAGATCTATCGAAAATCACATTATTTATGAAGTTTGTTCTAAATCAAACTCTTAAATTACTTTGTATATTTAATAGAAACTCACTCGCCATCCCACCCAATTGTAATCGGAAAATATGACTAGAACGTACAGAAACATCAAAATAAATCCTAACGATAATATATCAATATTTCCAAACATCGTCACGAAAGTGACATCACCGAAGCTTCTACCAGCTTCGTACCATATGGCTAATGTGTGATTTGCATCTTTCTCGCTATTCAATTGTTTTGCATTTCTGTGCAGTACATCCAAATAAGATAGTTCCCATTTTAATATATCCTCTGTTGCCTACACAAAGGATATCAATTGTTCTTCTTTTTTCTTCAAAACACACATATGAAAATGAATAAAAATTAATTTAATGATAGTTCAAATATTGAATGGAATAGAAGAAATTGTGGTTCTGTTTGAGATTCATAATATTGAATATTGAAGTTTTATGTATGCAATACCTAAAGAAATGTTCTTGAGCTGATTATGATGAAATCATTTTGACCATAAACTAAGGCCTAAATCATATAAATAATATATTGTTTGTACAATATATTAATAAGTAGTATCGATACAAAAATATTTTACACATTATTTACATTCAATTTATGATTCAGGCCTTTATATAAACTTACCTTACCCAATCGGCTGTTCCAGCATCATTGCCATAGGTATCCATATCAACATTTGTAAAATTTACATGAACTGGCCATTGAGTTTTTACAGCTCTGGCTGAAATGATTCTACCCTCTTCGTCTTTCGTAACACCACCCAATAATTCTATAAAATTTAAGGGATGGCCCAAAGTAGGACTAGACCTCACATTGTTTACGTCATTGATAATTTCTTCCTTAGATTTACGAAGAATCGTGTCACTATTGTACTCCCATATATCCATAATACTATTTGTAAGGCAAGCTTTGGGCAAGTTGTTGACAATATTACAATACAGTTTGGGGTCAGCATGAACCGCGGGTTCAAATTTAGTGTTATTAATTTGCACGTCTGGTTCAATTTCAAAAAAATCATCAAGTTGATTGCTGCGTTTCTTTCTATGTATAATACCTGATATAACAGGTACTCTATGTATCAAATAAAGAGAAATTAATTTCACTTATTGATCATTTTTACTGTATCCATAAAGTAAAGCTTGTTCTGTAACATACAGTAAAATATGCTTACTTGAAACATACATCTGTCCATGCAATATGATCAGATGTTTGCACAGACAGAACTTGTTGTGTTATTTCATTCAGCTGAAACAATATAGATAAACAAAAACGATTCTTACATGTATAAAGCCATAATATATGAATGTAATGATAAACACCTTAACCAGAACTTTCGGTTCTAACACATCGTCAGCTGTTAGAATCATACTTTCCATTCTTAATCCTTGTCCAAACCGTTGGATCATCCAGTCCGTATCGTGAACAAAATCGGAATCCTGTGGAACCCATAATTTGACAGGATTTTTCTCTTGATGAAAGAAATACAAACCGGAAAGGGAAATCAAGACTATCACAGCACTGCCAATAAGCCATCTGTATGGTCGTTTAGCAATTCTTAGCCCTAGTCTAAAGTAAGTATGAAGCATTAAAAATGAGCATAATACATGCTCATAAAAGAATTGTCAAACTTACGTATAAAAAAAGTGTTCAACTACTTCTGATATACGTCGTGGTACCTGACGGAGAATATTTCGGAAAGACCGTTTGCGAACGATTCTCTCCTCTATCTCCATGCTTTACACGCTGAAACCAAATCACAGCACGGTCGTATTTCGTTTCATCGTTGAATTTCACGCGCGTCTGCGTAAATGGCAAAGCAACGACTGCCAAGTCGAAGACGTTCTCTATATTATAGCTCGTTGTGACGAAAACACTCGGCTATACCAGGCCTTCACGACGAAGGACAACTATCACCTAACCTTTAAATCTGACGGCCGATTAAATACACGAACAGATACAGGAATGTGAAAAAGAACATGCAGTCGAATACAAATAATTCCATTCGATGCAGCGTATGCACAGAGCTTTTGTCGAGCTCTGCAAATAATCGACTGTCACTTTCCATCCCGACTACTATTATCGTGTGCTCGACTGCATCGGATTGCGCGTGATGCACACAGCAGCCTACGGCGTGCGTGTTATCATTTGCTATGCACAAACCAGGGATTCCCAAACTATGGGTACCTATTCTGGGACTTTGGAATTTTTTAATTTTGGGACTTGGAATGTTGCAATTTTTGAGTGTTTAGAATTTGGAATTTTGAAATTTGGGTATTGGGAACTTTGGGACTGTTGGACTTGGATGTTTGGAACTTTGGGACTGTTGGAGTTGGGTGTTTGGAACTTTGGGACTGTTGGACTTGAGCGTTTGGAACTTTGGGACTGTTGGACTTGGATGTTTGGAACTTTGGGACTGTTGGAGTTGGGTGTTTGGAACTTTGGGACTGTTGGAGTTGGATGTTTGGAACTTTGGAACTATAGAACTTTAGACCTGTAAAACTTTAGGACTTTGAATAATTGAAATATTGAAATTTTTACACACTGAGATTTTGGAACAGTGGAATTCTGCATTATCTAGGTATTTGAAAATATTGGAACTGTTAGGACTTTGAAAGAAAAATAATAAATTATAATCGAGTTGGTGAGAAATTATTTTCAAGTGTCTCATCCCCTAAAAGTATGGACTCTAAGATCTAGCAAAAACCAAGCACAAATGATTGCGCTATAGAAATTTTGCGAACTATCGCAAACTACTAATTAATGAAAATATGTGAAATATAAAACGATCTATAGCTAACATATCTTGCTGTTATTCTTATAGCCGAATGAATGTATGCCAAGGTCACTAAAATGATCGAATACGTTGCACGCTCGTTTATTTTTTTTTGTACAACTTTTTTCGAGATTACCGGTTTTGGAATGCATTTACATTTTAAGTATTAAGATACCTAAATGTTTACCTGGACTTTGCACCATTATAACATTCTACTTATTCACAAATACACATCATTTCTTTGTAACGTAATAAATCGTTATTAAGCTTCCTTTCGAAAGGTATGTAAATTGACCGTGTAAACTGCCGTACATTAAAAGTTCAGAGTTCAATATGATAAGACGAAGGAAAAAATGGTACTCACTCGAAGAACGAAGAGGACACGTTCCACGTTAGTCTCTCAACTAACGTGTACACTACGAATGTACACAAGTCGAACTTAAAATTAACTTAAATGACTGACTATGGACTTTAAAGACGTGTAACACGGTGGACACGTTGTAATCTATAGACATTAAACACTTATCAATTATATAGAGTGATAATGTAGATACGGCTATGACAACGTCTGCATTCGATACTTGGGCGAGGAATGATCATTGGACCCGGAATGCAGAACGTAGACGTATATGCATGCTGTCTGCGACAAATAATGAGTATAATTAATTCCTTTTGCGGTTTCTTTCATGTTTAATTGTGGTTTGGAAACAACCCGGGCTGCCTGCGGGTTGCAACCATGGGAAGAACAGGATGTTGCCTTTGCGAATGAATTAAAACTTTCGCAGTCACTAACTTGAACCGAAGTTGTCTGATGTTTAATAAATAATAGGACCTTTGACGTCCGCTTTGAGGAGGAGTATTTTCGGAAATTTATGAGGAGGTAAATTTACAAGTTTCATAAGTTTTACGAATTTCATAAAGTTTACAAGTTTTATGAGTTTTACAAATTTACCGAGTTTAATCATTTTTTAAAGTTTTCTCAGTTTTATACATTTTTGTAGGTTTTTAAGTTTTCTAAGTTTCTCGAGTTTTTGAAGTTTAAGGAGTTTAAGATTCTACGTTTTCTGATTTTCTTAAGTTTTCAAGCTTTTCAGATTTTGAAAATTTTGCAAGGTTATTAAGTTTTAAAAATTTGTCAAGTTTTCAAGGTTTCTGTGGTTTTCGAGATCAAATTTCAATTTTTTTTGGATTTTGGAAAATTTGCAAATTTATTAAGATTTTAAAATTTTTCAAGTTTTCAAGGTTTCTGTGATTTTCAAGGTCGAATTTCAAGTTTCTTGAATTTTGGAAATTTTGCAAGTTTATTAAGCTTTTAAAATTATTCAAGTTTTCAAGGTTTCCGTGATTTTCAAGGTCAAATGTTTAATTTTTTAAAATTTGTTAAGTGTCCAAGGTCTTCAAGTTTACCAAGTTCTCAGGTTTTCGAAGCTGTTTAAATTTTTTGAAATTCTTCAATCTTTACTACTTGATCTAATCTCAGAATTTATAAGCTTGACAGTATCTACGTAACAAATATCCGTGATGTTTAAAAATAAACTTTACAATCATTTTCATTTTCTGTTACAACTTCGTAATAACAGATGAGGACAGTGGAAATGTACGGATTACGAACGTGCTGAGAACTGAAAAACGTTTCGCGATCATTTAATGCAGATGTTATCTTCTTTTTTTGTCTCTTGTTTATCAAATTCTCTATAACGTGTTGAATAATACTGCAACTGGTCAAGAATACAAACTCACGGTTACATCAATATCTAACAAGTAGTTACTAGCAAATCATCGGAAATGATAGAGATTCGTTTCTTGAATGAACATTGCACAATAAGTTCCTTCTTTATATTATCCTTGAATTATTATACTTCGGTTTCCGTTACTGTGTTTGTGTCGAATACGACAAACGAGAGGACTAAAAGCATTTGACGGTTTTTAAAATTCGTATCATCTTTGATGTCAATATTTTACTTTTTCAAAGTCAAAGTTTTGAAGAAAATTCTGTTTTAACGATAGTAGATAAATAGCAAGTACAACTTTTATTGTAAATGATCAATGATGAAGTACATTTCTATTAAGAATTATAAAAAGGAGATTAAGATTTAGATTAATAAAAGGGAGATGAAGTTAAAATTAATATAAGGAAGGTTAAAATTAAAATTAATCAAAGGAAGATTAAGGTTAAGATTAATAAAAAGGAAATAATATTAAGGGAAATATTAAGATCTAGATGAAGATTAATGTGAAACTTAAAATCAATATAGATTAAAATTAAAATTAAGGTTAATATTGAAATTTAGATTATGATTAAAGTTAAGATTAGAATTAAAATTAATATTAATAGTAAAATTTAAATTATGATTAAGATTAAAATTAGAATTAAAATTAAGGTCAATATTTAGGCAAAAATGAAGATTAAAATTAAGATTAAAAATAGTGTTAATATTTAGATAAATATCAAGGTTAAGATTAAAATTAAATGATAATAAGCTTAATAAAAAGAAGATACAATTAACACAACGAAAACTTGTATCGACTATAAACAAGTATACAAAAGTTTATTATCAGTTTAGGATACACTTAAGTAATATCGCAGAGACATGGCGGACATGAAAATCAAGATAGAAACTTCGAAAGCGAATAGAATTGTTTTGCAATAACGAGGTATGTTCACGATGTCCATGTGCATCAGGGTGTATGATATGCTGAATATTGGGAAACAAGGCAGAATAGTCTTGGCTACAAGATACAACGGTGACGTGTTCAACCATATCGCTGTAATTAGCAGATAAGGGAGAACAGTTTCGAGATCATGACGATGAGCACTTCGAATACGATCCACGTCTTCATGACCGCCGGCGGTCGAGCACAAAATTATATTTGGACCTTTCATCCACATTCTATCTTCTTCACTGTGAATTACCTGCATAAATTACATATATTTTTATTATTAAATTTCAACTTTGAAGTTTGAGGAATTCAAAATTTCAAAATTTCAAAATTTTACAGAATTGTAGAACTTTTACATTTTGCAATTTTCAGACGTTTTTATTTTGGAGTTGTTGAAGTTTAGACTTTTGGAATTGCAGACAATATCGATGCTGAATTAAAAATTTTTAATTTTGCTGTATTTTTAAATTTTAGGTATAATAATCTATTAAACAATATTGTTTGGAATTCCCAAATTTTCAAACTTTCAAATTGCCAAATTTTTAAATTTCCAAATTCTCAAATTTCTATATTTCCAAATTTCCAAATCCTCAAATTCTCAAATTTAGAAATTACCAAATTCCCAAATTGCCAAGTTTCCAAACTCCTAAATTCCTAAATACCCAAATTGCCAAATTGCCAAATTTCCAAATTCTCAAATTCCCAAATTCCCTAAATCCCAAAAATTCCCAAAATTTCCAAAATTTCCCAAAATTCCCAAAATTTCCCGAAGTTCCCAAAATTCCTCAAATTCCCGAATTCCCAAATTTCAAAAATTCTCCAAATTCCCGAAATTCTAAAAATTCCTAAATTCCCAAAATTCGTAAAGTTCCCAAAATGCTTAAAATTCTCAAATTCTCAAATTCCTAAAATTCTTTAAATTCCCAAATTCCCGAAATTCCAAAATTCTCTAAATTCTCTAAATTCTCTAAATTCTCCAAATTCTCCAAATTCCCAAAATTCTAAAAGTTCCCAAATTTCCAAATTCCCAAATTTCCAAATTCCCAAATTCCCAAATTCCCAAATTCCCAAATTCCCAAAATTCCTAAGATTCCCAAAATTCCTAAAATTTCCAAAATTCCAAATCTATTGAAATATCGGCTATTTTACTGTAGAATTTGCAGGTGAAAAGTTTTCGTATAATAACTAAAAATAAAACTGAGATTTCTCATCAAAATCTTGCATATATTATTCAAATTAATAATCGAATAAAAAAGTAAAAGATAGTAACCAAGTTTACAAAGCGTGACCTAAGAATTTAAAATTAAATTTAAAATTGTGTATCTTAGTTCTGTTATTCCAGTCAAAAATAAAAGAAAGAAACAGTTTGTTTTTACCTGTCTGTGTACTCGAATACGCCCAGTGAACCACGCGAGAGAGAACATTTTTAAAGCAAGGACACACGACCAGCAAGCATAAATACTCCACAACTCCTTCGCAAGATTATTTTCCATTGTTTCGATCCACCTTATCAAGCAGTTTTATATCGACAAGGAAAACAGTAAGAATGCGCTGCCTTTCCCGTTGTATTTCTTCAACATTTCTTACGTTGTTCCGTATATCGGAAGAAAGAGAATCATTTATTTAGCATCACGATAAAACGTGGCAACACGAAGAGGAAGAAAGAAAAAGACCTAATAGAGCGTCAACGTATCGAGACTCGTATCAGAAAGTTAGCGGGAGAATCGAACGGCGGAACGAATAAAAGTCGTTGACGGAAGAAACGGGTGGATGTGATCGCGTTAAAATTCCCTTCGTTTGCTAGTAGACGACTGACTACCATGAAAACCGGTGTCTCGAACGTGATCCTGCTTCGAGACCTATTTGGAAGTCAAATCGACACCTGACACACCGAGGGCGGGACACGTATCCGAAACGAAACATTTGTTTCGTACAGGAGAGTTTTATTCCTCGCGCGAAAATGCGAGTTGGTAAGTAGGGTAAATCGAATAAAATGGGGAGAAGTTCGGGAAAATTTGTATTTTTACTAGTGCAGTTCCTACATTTTCGCCTTGAATGGGTCTGACGCGAACGAAATAGGGACTGACGTTCTTCGAATGGGAGAGGATGAGCTGACATTGGATGTAGGATATGTGTTCGACATTTTAAAATATTTTAATTATTACTATTTCTAAATTTTTGAATATTTAGATTTTAGTTTCTCAAAATTTTAAATAAAAAATATTGAATTTTTAAGTTTTTTAGTTTTTAAATACCCCAAATTTTCAAATTTTCAAACTTCCAAATTGCCAAGCAAGTTTCCAAGTTTTCAAATTTCCAAGTTTCCAAGTTTCCAAATTTCCAAGTTTCCAAATTTTTAAATTTCCAAATTGTTAAAATTTTTAAACTTCCAAATTCTCAAATTTCCATATTCCCAAATTCTCAAATTCCCAAATTCCAAAATTTCCCAAATTTCTCAAATTTTCAAAATTCTCAAATTCCCAAATTCCCAAATTCCCAAATTCCCAAATTCTCAAATTCCCAAATTCCCAGATTTCCAAATTCCCAAATTCCGAAATTCCCAGATTCCCAGCTTCCCAGATTTCCAAATTCCTAGATTCCCACCCAAATTCCCAAATTCCCAAATTCCCAAATTCCCAAATTCCCAAATTCCCAAATTCCCAAATTCCCAAATTCCCAAATTCCCAAATTCCCAAATTCCCAAATTCCCAAATTCCCAAATTCCCAAATTCCCAAATTCCCAAATTCCCAAATTCCCAAATTCCCAAATTCCCAAATTCCCAAATTCCCAAATTCCCAAATTCCCAATGTTCCCTTAATTCCATTCCCAAATTCCCAAATTCCCAAATTCCCAAATTCCCAAATTCCCAAATTCCCAAATTCCCAAATTCCCAAATTCCCAAATTCCCAAATTCCCAAATTCCCAAATTCCCAAATTCCCAAATTCCCAAATTCCCAAATTCCCAAATTCCCAAATTCCCAAATTCCCAAATTCCCAAATTCCCAAATTCCCAAATTCCCAAATTCCCAAATTCCCAAATTCCCAAATTCCCAAATTCCCAAATTCCCAAATTCCCAAATTCCCAAATTCCCAAATTCCCAAATTCCCAAATTCCCAAATTCCCAAATTCCCAAATTCCCAAATTCCCAGATTTCCAAATTCCCAAATTCCCAAATTCCCAAATTCCCAAATTTTCAAAATTTCCCAAGTTTTCAAAATTCCCAGATTCCCAGGTTCCCAGATTTCCAAATTCTTAGATTCCCAAAATTCCTAAAATTTCTAAAATTTCCAAATTCCCAAAGTTCCCTTAATTCCCTGAATTTCCTAAAATTCCTAAAATTCCTAAATTCCTAAAATTCCCAAAATTCCTAAAATTCCCAAAATTCCCAAATTAAAAAAATTTAGAGCGGTATCAAACTGAAATAGATTAAAATATAAAACTACCCTACTTGCCACACCCCATCTTCACCTCTAAGCTTAACAATATTTCACGGCTATTTTATTGAGTAATTAAATAGCATACCAGCTTATTACGACAGAATGAAATTTATAAGCTGTAAATATTGTTATAACATACAATACTTTTTATTTTTATAGCCCACGTTTAAAAATGATACTACTAGCGTCATCTAATAATACATACTCGTATCAATGCAGAATTGTTCTTTTTTTAAAAAAATAATTTAAATATTTGACTTCTGCAATTTGCTACCATGTTAAATGCGATTACAAAATACTTCTTATGTACTAAAGTGCAAAACTTATTGTATATACATATATTTTGCAGAAGAAATAATTTTTTGCCAGTTCTACCGTTTGCTATCAGATGTCGCCAGTGATACTATTTCAAAAGTTATCGAATTCAAACTTTCAGTAATTTTAAATATTTAAAATATTTAACTAATAATATATGTACTTTGTATTAATATTAACGTATTAAAAAAAAATAAATAGACAGTGATAATAGGTATTATTACAGTGTAAATAGACATTCAGTTTCAAATTCATGGACTTACCAATATATCTGAAGCAATAAAATCAAGGGAATAGGGAATAAAAATATATTTCTCACGGGTACATGTATTGATATCTTCACTCACAATCACTTTTAATTTACATAATCTCGCATCTGTAATTTCCTAAAAATCTTAACATTCCATATCAAGATTGTAATTTATAATTTTCTCTAAATAATTTTTCCTGCGTCTCTAAATTTCCCTTCAATAAATAATTCTCCACCTTTGCACTCGAATAAAAGCTTCCGCAAAATAAAGATCGAAACAGCTAAGCAGAGAGCTATTTCAAGAGTTAAATACAACAAATGAATTACACGTTCGTTAAAATCATCATTTTACTCGCAGTCAGAGTCGAACGATTTACAAGCATTCGATAGAGTTCAGTTCTTCTCGCGTCAACGAAGCATCTAATCAAAAATTAAAACCGATCACGGAGTATTGACGAATTTATACGTCGCGTTACGAGCGCCATTGAGCGATATTGCTCTTCTTGATGTTCGCGCGTAAGGACACGTCGATCAAATTATTCCCGAGGAAAAAATCCGTGGCGACGATATTCGTTCCTTTCCACCATTCCTCCTGGAACTTATACGTGAGGTTTCTGTTTACACAATCTGCCATTTGCCGCAGGCTACCGGATAAATTGAAGATTATGTCCAACGGGTAGGGTGTTAATTCCGCCATCACCGCCCATAATGGGTTCTGACTGTTCCGGGTCTTTTTTGGACCCATGATAACCTCGTCCAGATACTTGAAAAGACCCTCCACCGTTTGCTGATTACCCCACGCTTGAGACATCGTTGGCCACAGCCAATCGTACTCTGAAATGAAAACCATCCGCATTTTATAAAATTAAATTCGTGAAATATGTCGGTTTTTGTTAAAATTGTGTTTCTGCAAGTATTCTGTACTTTTTACATCAGTTGTGTAATATATAAATTTGAAGGGACATATCTTTGAACATATTTGCACTTGCATATCTTTTGATGTTATCCGATTATATTCAATCACTTTTGCTTCATCTTTAAATAATTAATTGTTGTAGTAATTAGTTAAGTTCGCGTTACATACAGTTTTGTTAGTGTCGAACAAAAATGCATTCTTGAACTTATTAAATATCTTAGGAGACCTATTAAATATCTTCTAGTGAATTAGGTTAGGTTAGGTTTATTATAAAAGTCTCTTGCATTAAAAACATCTAACTGAAGAATGACTATACAATATAAACTGGTAGCATTTAAATAAAATTTAATTTAATGTTTTTAATTATATTTGGTTTATGCTATCAACTTTTATTTTAATGTCTTAAGAATTCCTCAGAGTGAGTTATGTTTATTAAACTGAGTCAATAATTGACATAGTTTGTAATTTAAATAGTTTGTAGTTGTTCAAAAATTTACCGTTTACGGTGTGCTTATCGCCATAGCATATTATCAAACGTTTTCCTCCAGTCCAAATATCATTCAAAGTTGGACCCAAACCTTCGACTCCTCTATCAGGTTTCAGTATCAGATCTTCGAATTCTCGTAAGAGGATCATGGCCAGTCGCCGATGACTGCTGGGTCTACTCTCGAATCCCACAGGGAATCTACAACCATAATCGTTCTATATTGAATATCATCTGGCTCTAACCGTAAGTCAGTCGTTACTACGCTTTGCGACAGTAACTACCATTTGCACGGATCAATATTAATAGAATAGAACTCTCGTTACCTTGCTCAATATTACGGAAGCAATTAGGGAAATTGCAAATGTGTTAAAAATAGTATGGGAATAGCAAATATTACGGTGGCCAAATAATTTTTTTTGTTAAAAGAAGAAACTTTTCTAAAGACGAAATTTTTTCTAAATACCAAACTTTTTGTTTAAACAACTTTTTTCTGAACTAAAATATTTTTCTATGAAACACCAAGACACTTCTTCTGTAAGTGTTATCAACGTACATGGAAGTTCGTGTGAAAATGGCAATATAACGAGAGTCCACTAGATAATAGAAAAATAGAAAAATTGCTGGAATAATTTAATCAAATATTTGCGAAGATGCTCAGAAGAAATTCGAATACAGAAAAAGTAATTTTCTATATTTGCAAACGAGATTATTATTTGATTGTAAATTGGATAGATATTTTATAGTTAAAAAGGTGATCGTGAAAAATGCATTAGTACAAATTATAAACTTCTATCAGTAAAAATTAAAAATTTCTATCAGTGAAAATGTAAGTCAGTCGTTACTACGCTTTGCGACAGTAACTACCATTTGCACGGATCAATATTAATAGAATAGAACTCTCGTTACCTTGCTCAATATTACGGAAGCAATTAGGGAAATTGCAAATGTGTTAAAAATAGTATGGGAATAGCAAATATTACGGTGGCCAAATAATTTTTTTTGTTAAAAGAAGAAACTTTTCTAAAGACGAAATTTTTTCTAAATACCAAACTTTTTGTTTAAACAACTTTTTTCTGAACTAAAATATTTTTCTATGAAACACCAAGACACTTCTTCTGTAAGTGTTATCAACGTACATGGAAGTTCGTGTGAAAATGGCAATATAACGAGAGTCCACTAGATAATAGAAAAATAGAAAAATTGCTGGAATAATTTAATCAAATATTTGCGAAGATGCTCAGAAGAAATTCGAATACAGAAAAAGTAATTTTCTATATTTGCAAACGAGATTATTATTTGATTGTAAATTGGATAGATATTTTATAGTTAAAAAGGTGATCGTGAAAAATGCATTAGTACAAATTATAAACTTCTATCAGTAAAAATTAAAAATTTCTATCAGTGAAAATGACAAACTTCTATCAGTAAAAGTTAAAAATTTCTATCAGTGAAAATTACAAACTTCTATCAGTAAAAGTTAAAAATTTCTATCAGTGAAAATTACAAACTTCTATCAGTAAAAGTTAAAAATTTCTATCAGTGAAAATTACAAACTTCTATCAGTAAAAGTTAAAAATTTCTATCAGTGAAAATTACAAACTTCTATCAGTAAAAGTTAAAAATTTCTATCAGTGAAAATTACAAACTTCTATCAGTAAAAGTTAAAAATTTCTATCAGTGAAAATTACAAACTTCTATCAGTAAAAGTTAAAAATTTCTATCAGTGAAAATTACAAACTTCTATCAGTAAAAGTTAAAAATTTCTATCAGTGAAAATTACAAACTTCTATCAGTAAAAGTTAAAAATTTCTATCAGTGAAAATTACAAACTTCTATCAGTAAAAGTTAAAAATTTCTATCAGTGAAAATTACAAACTTCTATCAGTAAAAATTACAAACTTCTATCAGTAAAAATGACAAATTTCTATTAGTGAAAATTACAAAGCCAATATAAATTACAAACTGTCCATATTATTTATCAGCTATTATTGTCCGAAGTCAATCCGCTCTACAAAATCTATTTTCCCAGCATTATCGATCCTCAAATCGACTACATTATTCCATATCGTCAATTTACCTATGAAAGTCCATGATGACCACCTCTCCCCTAGCGACATTCAGAAAGTTTCTCACGTCTTTGATGATCGCTGACAGAGGGGTAATCCGAATGATATCATGATTGATCCAAAATCTGCTTATGTTCTCTCCAATGGCGGTGCCGTTCGGGATCGAAGGATAATAACCTACCCTAAGATCCAAATACCTAATTCCGTGAACTAATTGTGTCCATACATCGCGATCCTGGGTAAGCAAATACTTTTGAAATGCATCCCTTCTCGTTAGATCACCGTGTTTGTAACATCCTGAGTTATGAGTTCCCGGAATCATTAAGCTTCCTATTGGAAGCGGTCCTAGCTGTCTCCTGAATTATATCAAAAATTAAATCAATTTCGAATACTGGTATGCACATGCGATTCGTTATAAGAAAATCTGAACTTCAATTTCTGTTTTCAATTCGTCAATTTTGTACGAAAATAATAGTACAATTTTGTAAGAATAATAGTACAAATTTGAAGTTAATATTACCTCAAATCGTACATCCATGTTGGCCAAATCTGTAAGCACGAGCTGACGAGAAGAGCACCGTCCATGTAAAGAGCAGCGTGGTGTTTCAAGCAATGAGGACCAGGAAGTGTGGCGCCATCTTTGTTGTCCCATCCTCCTGGAAGCGTTGGTCGACCAACGGTGATGTTTGTTCGATAATATCCACGTGGATATTGCAACGATGTTAGTGTCAACCTGGGTTTGATCGTTTTGTCTAGAAATAAAATAGATGGTTGCGTCGACCGACATCGATTTAGCTACTTTTGAATTTGAAACTTGAACGATATCGAAGGGATTTCTGAGGAGCAAAGTGTTTTCCGTATGTGAATATATGTTTTTTCCTTAGGTGTTTTATTCGATAGTTTAATAAATTAATTTGAAGAAATGTTTGGTTTAAATCGATGTGAATAGGATTCGTCCTAATTCGTGAATCAGAAGTTACGACGTTCAAGAGAAGCAAACAAAACTTATTACTATGTGCTGGGTCAGCAGTGAACACCTTGATGGTATCTGGGTATCCTGTACTCGACGGACACTCGAGATCCCAATTTACTTCGAGCTCAGCGTCGATCACCTTGTCGCTTGCAGCGATCGGTCTCCACAATGAGGAGACTGTCAGCCATACTTTCCCGCATTGAGCTGCCAATGCTGGAATCATCAGTTGACGAGTTGACAGTAATCATTGTCAAAATAATTCACAGAACGGGAAATTTATTCGTTGACATATATTAACTTGATATTAAATATTTATACGTGTCTAGAATTTCATAATGCAGTAGAATACCTTATGTTACCACTTCTATATCTAAAGACAAATTTATATTATCTGATATTCTATGACTTAAAGGTACACTAAACTTTAGTATGATAAGGCGTACAAATTTTTGTATACTTGTAAGTGAAAAGTTATTAATTGGCACGTATTATGAAAGAAGGATGTATGGATCTAAAATTTGAAAATAAAGAAACTCATCAACTTCAAATCACGACTTTGTTCAGAACGTTACAAAATAATATTATAATACAAGTCTTAATAGTAATGTTATTAATTATTTTTATGCGATAATCAGAAATTTTAGAAGTTAGAAATTGAAATGCTGTTTGGACTCACCGATATCGCAGAACAAGTGAAGGAACAGCAACAGTGTGGTCTTCAACATCATCGAAAGCTACCTTGAACTCCCTCGAACAAGTCGCGTTTCAAGCCAGCAAAAATCGGTCTACCTATATTTTTAAGAAAAACATTCCATATAAAACAATATCGTGTAATATTTAAATAACCCACAATTCGTGACATATTTCATAATGAATGCTTCAAGTGTCACAGGAATTGCTGATCTTTTCAGTCCTGTCCGTGATAATAAACATGTTAACGTTGCAGGTTTGTACTTGGAATTAGAAGGAGGTGTATTTCACGTGTGTGAGATATATGATTTGTACGTTGGTTCACACGTGCGAAATATAGTCTATATGTTTGTTCATACGTATCAGATAATGTGGTCTACACGCTGGTTCATGTATGCGAAATATAGTCTACATGATGATTCACATATATGTTGAAATGTGATTTATATGTTGGTTCATATACGTGAGATATGATTTATATGTTGGTTCATATATGTGAGATATGATCTACACGGTGGTTCACATATGTGAAATATGATCTACATGATGATTCACATATGTGAAATATGATTTACACGTTGGTTCACATATGTGAGATACGATATACATGTTGGTTCATGTATGTGAGATATGATCTACTCGATGGTTCACATATATGAAATATGGTCTACATGATGATTCACATATGTGAATTATGATTTATATGTTGGTTCATATATGTAAAATATGATTAATTTGTTGGTTCACATATGTGAGATATGATCTACACATTGGTTCACGTATGTGAAATATGATCTACACGTTGTTTCACATATGTGAAATGTGGTCTACACGTTGATTCCAATATGTGAATAATGATCTACACATTGTTTCACATATGTGAAATATGATCTACACATTGATTCACATATGTGAGATATGATCTATAGGTCGTTTCACATATGTGAATCAACTTGTCCCTCATACCAAATTCCACTATATCACCAAATCAGAAATGCAAACATAAATGATCCAAAAGATGAGAGCTGAAGCATCGATCGCACTTACAACTCGCGCGCGCACTTGGTGAGCCACTTCCGATCCAGGTAGCCGATCGCGTGGAGTACGTCGAGTCCCGGTTCTCCTTGGTCGACGTCCGATGTAGCATTCAGTCCCGGTTGGTTGTTGGTCCGTCGATGGGAGGCTAGCGGGTTCCGGTCTCAAGGAGATGATGGTCGCGATCCGCTTGGTCGGCGCATCGTCCGTGATCGCGCGACAAGCAACCAATTGTTTAGCGATCGAGAAACGAGTAGACGATGATCGATCGCGTTATCCCGGAGCAATCGATCCGATCCAGCCGTCCGTGGACAATCCAGTGACTGAACGATAGGGAACCGAACGACCCGTAACCGGACCAGTTTAATATAGAACCCGCTCTCGCTTATGGGACATTCAAGCACATTGTGCCATCCTTCCATCACTTCCTCGGACACGTCAATTGCTCGGTGGGGACCATACGTCCCTCCTCGTCGTGCCGACGATCAAACACACCGGGTTTTTCTTCGTTCAACGTTACGGTCATCCTATCGACTGCCGTCCACCATCGGGGGTCAGACCCGACCTGACCCGTCGGCATTAAACACCATTTCCTGCGTATGCCGTGGAATATATAGTTTCGAGACGACGGACGGACGGACGGAGAGAGGAGTGCACCACAAGCAGACGGGGTTAAGGGGGAGCGGATTCTGATTCTACATTGAATTATCACCCTCGCTCGGTGGGTCAACCAACGGGGAACGGGGAGCAGCCGTGAGAGCCAACAGGATGATGATTAGGTACAGGTGCAGCCAACGGGGTGACTCGATTTATCGTTACTCCCCGATTACACGCTGTATGCTACGAACGACTCGCATGATTTCCAGAGAAATCACGGATAACAGACGATGAATCAGAGACGATGAACGACGGACAATCGAGAGGATCATTCTGTTGGCCAATCCTGGATGACTCCCAGTTCCGCCGTTTCAACACTACGGGATTCTGTGATACTGTATTCCGGATAATGATGGACCGTAGCGAGTTAACGCTTTCGAGATAGCTCTGCTTTTTAATCTCTTTCAAAGGGAGATTAAGGAACCATAGTTGGCCCTGCTGACCGATACTGGACTGATATGCAAAAGTTTAACACTGCTAAATTTAGTCGAAGTCCTCAGAATAAGTGAGGTTTACGAATACAAATAATTTTTAATTTGTTTCCTCCTTCTTTTGTTAATCATTCGATCATATTAGATTTGATGTGTTTCAGAATCACATTCAGCGTGTTAATCTACTAACTAAGCGAGATTAATTTATTCTTCAACACGTAATAAGACATTTATCAAAATATCTTGACCCTCAAATATATTATTATGGTGAGATAATAAACACCAACATATATTATATAAATTAACGAAAACATTATTTAATTTCTTACACAGTACTGATTTTATTAACTAAACTATATTGTACTCTTATTTTTATTAAATCATCTCCATTATTTCTACAATATTTATTTATATTATCAGTAATTTCAAATACTTCAAATAGATGAATACTATACAAAAATGAATAATAATAAATACAGAAATATTGAGGTAAACGATGGAATAAAGTTTGCAGACAATATTGTTTAGTACAACAGATATACAATTTATTTACAATAATTCACGCGAGTACAAAATAACAATATTTTACGCGGACGCAAGAGACGATCGATCGTGGCATGTAAAAATAAATTAAACGTTGTCACGATCGTTCTACTAGTTACAATAAAAAAAGGGTCGATTCTCTTGGCCATCGCGTGAATTCTCTCTCTTCCACGTTAAATAAATAATTATTAGTCCGACAATTATATTACATAGATCGCTAGACGCGCTGTTTACACGCTCGTACTAGCCTATATTAATTACTCTTGCGGCGTTAAACTCTTTAATCGACGTTTATAGTACACAGAAGGACGTTAATACGATTTGATTCGTTGAGGTAGATAATTTAATCAGTCTATGAAGCTGCTTTGTCGGTCGGTTTGCTCGTTATTGACATCAATTCGCGAAACTCGGCTCCGTCGCGTTCTATTCAATCGAGCTGAACGTTTTGACTCGATTTGCCTTGTTCAATCGTCATGCACGCGGAATGTGCCAACGATACGATTAATTAATACTGAAAATTTTTACGTTACTATCACCTGTAATCGGTGATTGAAGTTTATCGAAGTTTACATTGCTTGCCACTCATCTAACACCTTCGCCGCCGTGATCAAATTGAGGCAATAGTAATCAATAATGGAAAAATAATGGAAATAATGGAAAGGTACATCGATTTAATTAAAGTCACCAACATTATAAAATAGCATATTGAAATGAAGTACTAAAAAGTTAATAATACCTTCAATAATGCATTTTATCAAGTGTGGCTGTTTCCAATATGGCGGCGAACGCGTTAACCCTCAAATGGCAGTAAACGGGTCTAAAGAAATAGTGAAGTTTAAAAACTGTATATTATATCATATGTTATCTCAGAAAAAACCCGGTCTTGTCATCAAAGGGTTCAAAATATATTTATGTTTGATAAGGGTTAATACTTGTGTATCCACCCCATTTTTATATTTTGTGTTTCTATGAAAATATCATTCTTAAAATATTTTTACATCAATTTACATAGTCAAAATGACAGTTAAAGTTTTGATGGTCCTCCATAGAAGTATAAAGTAAAAAGCAAGCAATGCATCTCGTAAATAAATTAGAATCAAATTAACAATCGTAAAAGTCGCTGCATATCGTAAGTACATGTCCATTTCCAAATTCACACAAATTTTTCGATCTTTCTTCTTTTTAACCCTAGCAACGTCCTCAAAGGGTTAAAAACTCGAATCTATTGAAACTTCAGAAGCAGCATGTTTCAAGAATTAACCTTTAATTCGAAATTGCTGTCTAAAGTATTCTGCGAATACAGGTACAGTTGAAGAGGGAAGATGGTTTTGGTAAATCGGAAGTCGAGCCTCATGGCTGATCATGTCATTCGGCAGTGAACAAATCACTCTACAAAAATAAGTGAATTAATTTATAACGACACGATTACGTGTCCGTTTGCTTCACTTACGAACTAGCAAATAAATTAGAGATACTCGGTTGTTCGTAAGGGCAAGTACAAAATTTACATTGGAATCTGAACGAAGATTCGAAGGGTGTTTTCGCGCGGACATTCGACAAAGTTCGGTCTCGTTTTCGGGTTGCGATGATAGTTCACTGGGAAACGAGAATCGAAGGTGCGCGATGAGGATCAAATCGATTCGATTGAAGAAGCTTGTTATGTGAACTCTATCGAAGTACAGGACTAATATTAATATTCTTTTTTAATTTTTTATGCAATAAAGATGGGGTGAGAGTGATTTTTAGCTGGTCTTGCAGGTATTGGTATTGAGGAATTGAGGATTTAAGGATTTGAGGATTTGGTAATTTGAGAGTTTGAGGATTTGGAGATTTACAGGAAATTTTCAAGTTCTTAATTTTCTACATTTCCAAATACCATAGTACCAAATTTCTACATTTTCAAATCCCTATATTCCCAAATTTCCAAATCTACAAGTTCCTAAATTCCCATACCCTGAAATGTCCAAGTCTTCAAATGACCAGATCCTTAAGTATCCAACTCCTCAAATCTCCAAATCCATTTCTAATTTCCCAAATCCTCAAATTCAAAAAATCTCCAAGTCCTCAAACATCCAAAAGCTCAAATTTCCAATTTCTCAAACCTCCAAATCTCCAAATATCCACAGATTTCCCGTTACTCAAATCCCCAAATCTCTAAACCTTCAAACTCCTAAACTCCCAAGTTTCCAACTCAAATCCCCAAATCTTCAAATTTCGAAAGAGTTCACAAGCATCCATATATCCTCAATTTCCCTAAAACCTCGAAGGCTTCTCGATCCAGAAGCATGTCACCGAACAGAGGAGAAGAATGCACGCTTCGCGTCAAAGTTTCATTCTTTCCCCACGTGTCGCGCGACGTCAACAGCAACAACAACAACGATCATCCGGTCAGGAATGCTTGCTGTCGAATGTTACGAGTTAATTGGCACGCTGAGTAAGCAAATTCAGCAGTTCGTCGTGATCCATGCTGTTCAACGTTTGTATATCGATGCCAAGTGCGTTCGCCACGCTCTTCATGTCGAGGCCGAAGCTCTTCAACAGCTCGATGAAGTCCATCTCCTCGCCGGTGAACGGATTGTGCAGCTTCGGGCAGCTGTGATTACACTGCGGCCAAGTGCAACGTTCGATTAACCGGAAGTGGCAGCCCTGGACGCACTTCCGTTTGCCAGATGGTATCACAGAGCGCTGAGGTCTGGTCCCGTTGAACATGCCCGTGTGGTTGCTGTCGTTGTTCTGCTTGTTGCCCTTACGACGACCTGAAACACCGATGAATTCCAAATTGCTCGATTACCTCTGCAATTGTTGTCTTTGAATATCTTGTTAATATTATAATCAAATAACAATTGTGTATATGTTTCTGAACCCATGTTTACACATACTTGCTAATGAGCAAGATTTTAGAGCGAGATTTTAGATAAAGTTTATGGAAGATTAAAGTTGTTCGATGAAAAGAGAATACATGTCTAATATTGTGGTAGGTTGAAGTACGAGATAAAATGTATTTAATGTATTAGTTTATAGTTTATTTAGTTTGACTCTTTACGAAGGTATTATTGCTGTCGACAGATTAGCAACCCTAAAAGTTTGATGAATTTTTTTGTACTTATTTTTCTACCAATTGACAGTATTGCCTATTTCAATCGCCATGTTTATGCATCACGTGTATAACGCTATAAGTTTAAAAACTTATAAGTTTAAAATAAGTTTAAAATAAGTTTAAAATAAGTTAATATATCTGTACAAATTAAGCATTTTGTAGTGAAATTTTAATTTGAAAAACATACGAAGCAAATATCTTGAAATACCTTGACAACTAATACAATCGACAATTAAGTTTCCAGAAATTACAGACTTTAATAAAAACAATTACAAATAATTGTCCACTTTCTCTTTTCGTCTTACAGTCCTTTTCTTCCTGATTGCCTTTAATATCTCTTCTAATTGAAGTAACTCATTTTTTTCTAATTACAGAGCACAACAAATAAAGTTATTTGAGCAATTCAATTGTTTTCCGTATTTGAGAGAATCGAAAGTACCTGCAGTCTTTCTACGTTCGTGTTTCTCCTTCTTCATCCTCGCGTCTTTGTTTCTCTCCCTGCGTCTACCTTTGTGTTTTCGCCTCTTCCTTTTCCTGTTTTCGCCATCCTGCACGGGGAAAATGGACGATTTTCCGCTGTTCGGATTGCTAATCACCTTTGGCGCAATCTTCTGGGACTCCATCGCGAATTCACTTTTCCCGCTTCTTCCTGGCTCGAAGGAAGTTCCGTTTCCCTTCGTCAGCCCGGAACGTAGCAGCTTCCGGAGCGACTTGGTGCACGGCTGGTTCGTCTCAATTGACGAACGAGTGCTGAAATTAACGAGGCCGAATCTGTCAGGCTCGCAGTTTCGTGTTAAAGCTTCTATAGGGGCACGTGATAATGAAATCGATCTTCGTTCATCGTTTTAATGAAGATACACATTCGCTTTTTATTCACGGTTCGATTACGTGACAAATACCAGGGTACCGTGAATATTAATTTTTTTTAATTTAAAGATGTGTTGATACTGTATTGTATTGAGGGAAAGTTCATGTTAAAAAAATTCGCTATCAATTTTTAAGATAGTAAACATGCAATTTTTAATATATTACAAAATTTATTTCATGTTTTTTTACCTCACTCTTCATTTTATCTTCTGTTTCCCGAATGGAAATTTTAGTCATTCAATCAATATTTTTAGAACTTGTGAATTAATCCTAATTATTATACTAACATTTAACGTTGTAGCTTCCACTGAAGAGTAAAAATAAATAAGCTGTAATTTATATAGTAACTTTCAACGAGTTGTTTACAAAATATATCAAAAGTTACTTAAAGAAGCTACGAATAATTATAATGCATATTTCCATGCATATTTACTGATATTCACATTCAGATAAACACTGTTAGTAATGTAATCTATAAATTCCTAATTAATGACATAATCTCTGTGATGTGATTTATGGTGGTGTGATAAACGATGCAATCTATAAATCTATAAATTATCTCGTACGTTATATAATTTATAAACCTATAACCCATAACTGATGTAATCTATGAATTTACAATTTAATCCGCAAATGTAATCTAAAATTGCAAGTTTCGTGCATCACATGATTTGTGTTTATTTAACTGACCTTATTATGTGACGGTCATAAAAATCTGCAGTCTAATTACACATATGACAATGTAACCGTGATGTATAACCTATCATGAGACTAATTACATCTATTATAATGTAACGGCGATATCTGACGTATTGGAGGAGTTTTCTCCAAATGAAAGTTGTACTTGAATAAATTTGGAGAAGTATGATATGTGTGTGAATGGAGGATCATATACCACATATGACAATGATGAAAATTTACAGTTTAATGAAATCTATTATAGTTCTAATTAAACCTATGTCAACAGTGATATCTAACGTTTTAGAAGTATTTTCTCCAAATGAAAGTTGAACCCGAATAAAATTGAAGAAATATGATACATGTGTGGATGGAGGATCATATACCACATATGACAACCATGTAAATCTACAATTTAATGAAATCTATCCTAAGTTTAAACCTATGCCAACAGTGATATCTCACGATTTAGAAGTATTTTCTCCAAATTAAAGTTGTACCTGAATAAATTTGAAAATGTATGATGTATGTGTGAATGGAGGATCATATACTACATATGACAACCATGAAAATCTACAACTTAATGAAATCTATCCTAAATCTAATTCAACCTACATCTACAGTAAAATCTAACGTTTCAGAGATATTTTCTCCAAACGAAAGTTGAACCCGAATAAATTTGAAGTATACATGTGTGGATGTAGGATCAGATACTCACTCGTTACGACGAATCCCGAGGGGCATTTGCTCCCAACAATGCAACGCCTGCGCCAGAGAAACCTCGTCTATTTTGACCAACTGCCAATCTCTCTTGGTGAGGACGCTGTGACTAATGCAACTCGGGGCAAAGACCGCGGAAACGTTTTCGAAGGTTTGCCGCAGGCTGTCACCCATCTTGTGTATGTAATCCCATTGCTGCTTCGTCACCGGTGCACCCACATTGTCGGCTGACATCTGAGCCTCGTCGAACAGCCATTGAAATACGAATAGGGGTGCTGCGATTTTTCCCAGAAGCAAACATTTCCGTTAGTTTACCGAACTGTTGCATTCTCGTTTTTTGATGTTATTCCTTACTTTTTAATTCAAAATTTTCAAGATTTCATAAACTTCGAATGATCTAAGTATTATATAATATTCAATTGCATGTTGAATATTTAAGGGTAAATATTTTGTTTCAAAATGAAAAAATTTGTTTTGTTTGTTTCAATGAAAAAACTATTAATTTTCAGATACAGTAGATAAGTTATTAATACTAAGACATAGTATCATTATACATAATAGAATTGTTAATAAATAAGATTTAAGTTGTATTAAAATTTTGTTTTGGATTTGTAAAGTGAAGGTGAACAAATTACCAGTTAAGGTTGGATACAGCCTGTATCCGAAGAAGCATCTCCAAGGTTCGTTGGGATGCTTGACTATACAATTATGAGGCATCCGAGCCTTCCAGAACTCCATCCCCTTGCGAACAGCGTTGACAGGCGATAAACCGTTAGGAGAGTAGGGTGCTCTGTCTAGAAACCACCCCGAGTCGCAGACACCTCTTATCGCAATGTGTTTTAAACCTGTACAAACGTCAAATAGAATACTTAAACTTGTACTTTTCTATTACCCAAAAATCTATAGGACTCAACATATTTTCAGCACAAAAAGTATCAAAGAAATATTGAGAAAAATTCCATGAACTTTTTTATTAAAATATTATTGTTAATATTATTAAAATATATTGGTTCATTTTATGATAATATTACTGGTATTTAAAATATTAAGTAATTGAAATTTTATCTTGTGAAATACCATATTTTTAAGGGATGATTGAGCGAGTACATGAATCAATTGGAAGTTGGCTCACCTAATTCATGGTGAACTAAATTGTGCACGTGATCCAAATTCAACATTACGCCGGTACCGCCCGCGCTGCTGCCAGCTAAAAGAAGAGAACTAGCATTTTCGAGTCCAAGAGGGATGAGATCCCGCACTACTTGCATCACGATCTCCGACCCCATGAACGAAAACATGTCACCCGGTGAAGTTCTGGTACCGCTCCAACTGTCGCTCGTGCAATAAGGAACAAACCTGCAGAGAAGAAAATCTGTTCGTTACGAAAATTTGATCGTTCACAGTCTTGAATTTTTAAAAACATTATGCAAATTTTTGTGAAATATAAAGATTTGAAATATAACACATATTAATATCGTTAAATTTATTGAAGAGGGTCAAGAATGTCTGCCAAGATGGACAATACCTACACGTGATTCGCGTTCCACCAGAATGGATTCTCTTCCGGATTTGCCGACAAAAGGCCGCCAACTGTAACCATTGATAATTTTTGGATTAATCTTTTGCTGTGACGTTATAGTAGATTCTCGTTATATTGCCGCTTTTGTGTGGATTTTGTATATGGAAATTTTGTATGGGCACAGGTTGAATTACTGTGCGTTAAGTTCCTATGCGTTAAATCCCGGCGCGTTAGATTTCTACGCTTTAAATCTCTACGCGTGACTTCCATGCGTTGAATCCCTACGTGTTAGATTTCCATGCGTTAAATCCCTACGCGTTAGATTTCCACGCGTTAAATTCCTACGCGTTAGAATTTCCATGCGTTAGAATTTTCACGCGTTAAATTCCTACGCGTTAGATTTCCACGAGTTAAATTCCTCCGCGTTAAATTCCTACGCGTTAGAATTTCACGCGTTAAGTTCCTACGCGTTAAATTCCTACGCGTTAGATTTCCACGCGTTAAATTCCTACGCGTTAGATTTCCACGCATTAAATTCCTACGCGTTAGAATTTTCTCGCGTTAAATTCCTACGCGCTAGAATTTCCACGCGTTAAGTTCCTACGCGTTAAATTCCTACGCGTTCGATTTCCACGCATTAAATTCCTACGCGTTAGAATTTTCTTGCGTTAAATTCCTACGCGTTAGATTTCCACGCGTTAGAATTTCTACGCGTTAAATTCCTATGTGTTAGATTTCCACGCGTTAGATTTCAACGCGTTAGATTTCCACGCGTTAAATTCCTACGCGTTAGAATTTTCTCGCGTTAAATTCCTACGCGTTAGATTTCCACGCGTTAAATCCTTATGCATAAAATTTCCACTCATTAAATCCACACGTACCAAATTTCTACGAGTTAAACTTCCACGTGTATACCAATGCTTTAAATTTCTATACATTGTACCACTACACATTAGAATTCCACGCGTTGTATTGTCACGTGTTAGATTCTTATGCGATCGATTTCAACTCGTTAAATCCCTACGCGTTATATCACCATATGTTACATTTCCACGTGTTGCGTCGCTACATTTTCACACGTTAGATGCCGATTCATTCTATGGCCACGTGTTAGTTCTATCAATATTGGCAATTCTATTGTTGTCTACAAATATAGTTCTGTCGACAATATAACGAGAATCTATTGTATTTATACTATCTTAAAGCATGGTATAGTATTGATTCAGATATAAGTATCACTTTCATTAAAACTAGTTAGGAGGTATAGACACAAATAATGTATAGATACGATACAGAGACGCATAGAGAAGAATGACGAAATAGAGAATGCACATACATATGTAGAGACAATATATGTATATGTACACGGTATAGATACAATGTATAGAGGCAATGGAGATATACAGACAACCTATAGAAACAATGAACTTTCTTATAATTAAACAACTAATTGAAAGATTGAAAGGAACCTTGAGAGACAGAATCAAGTGCCGCGCCCCATGAAACACCAAAAAAGGAAATATTTAATTCTTATAACACCAACAATAGCCACGTAACCTTCATAGGTAAATTTCGAAAAAAATTTGCCGGTTTAAGTCCCAAGTCATTTCGCGTTCCCCGAAGTGTGTCGAACAGCAGGAACCAGAACAATGTGACGTGCCGTCACGTGTCGCGTAACACGTAGAAAAGATTGCGGAACCCCGTAGCACGGAAGCGTTCGAGAAAATGTCGTAGCAAATAGGCAAACGAGAAACTTCCTTTCGAACGTAATACGCATGTGCTGTTTACACGATCTCTAATACTTTAAAGAAGTCTTCTGCCTGCTGCGGTTAAATCGTGTCGAAAAATACGTAACTCGAGAAATACATTGAAAACGCAGTCGTATACTTTTCGTATCCTATCAGATAGCCAGTGTCGAATTATAGATACCTACCGTCGCGTGTCTCAGGCCACTGAGTCGATGTCATCAGATGCCTCAACCTGAGCCACCTGTTCCTGCAGCTCTTGTGGTCGTAGCAGTACCAGCCACCTTCCAGGAAAATGATCCATCTCTTCGATCCGTGCGACTTCCGTAGGTAAAACCCTGCTTGCGATCCGTCGTTGCACGTGATCGACCTGTTGCTCAGGTAGACCCTCTTCAGGCCCCGTTGCTCCTCGAGACCGTACTTCTCCAGGATCTTGATCAGCTTCTGGATCGTGTTGCTCTGGATCGAGGAGCCGGAGGACACCGAGACGGTGTTCGTAGGCTTCTCCTCCGCGGCTATCGTCAGCACCAGAGCCGTCAGGCACACCGAGATCTGAGAACAACCGGCAAACGTCATGACGAAAGATGATGAGACTGATGGCTGCGGTTTCACCATTTTTAACGGGTTTCAGGTTCACGCAAAACTGTAGGTTGATACGAAAGGTGGTCTGATTGGTCTGATGTAGAGGTGGTCTGATTGAACTACTTATGGGATTCAAGGATTTTGGAACTTTAGGATTTCAGTCGTATATGATACGACTTAAGTGTAGCGATTGCAGAGCTGGTCTGAGTGGACTGATTATGGGATTCTAGGATTCTGGAACTTTGGAATTTCAGATATTGACACACATAACATACTTAGATATTTTTACTGTAGGTATATGATACGACTTATGTGTAGCGATTGCAGAGCTGGTTTGAGTGGACTGATTATGGGATTCTAGGATTCTGGAACTTTGGAATTTCAGATATTGACACACATAACATACTTAGATATTTTTACTGTAGGTATATGATGTGATATATGTGTAGCGATTGTAGAGGTGGTCTGATTGGACTAATTATGGGATTCTAGGATTTTGGAACTTTGGGATTTCAGATATTGACACACATAACATACTTAGATATTTTTACTGTAGGTATATGATACGACTTAAGTGTAGCGATTGCAGAGCTGGTCTGAGTGGACTGATTATGGGATTTTGGAACTTTGGAATCTTAGATATTGAAACACATAACATACTTAGATATTTTTAAACGTATAATATCAGCTTAAAAATGAAGACATTCAAATTTTGAACCTTCTGAAAATTTCGTGAATAATTTCGAAATATCTACAATCTGATGAAATATAAATGAGCGACGTAAGTTTGTTCTCATCAACCTGACACCCATCGAGTCAAGCTAAAAGTGGAAGCTCGTTCACTTCGTGAAATGTATTTACTTAACAGGTTGAATAATAGTTCGGTCATTTTGAAGCTCACGATGAAGAGCTTATCTCCTTCGCTTGCAATTTCTGCTCGCTCGGCCGCGCTATCTCGCCGCCTCATTATCATAGGCTACACGGTGATTAACGTACTTAGCCGGTGTTTCCAGTTTATAACTCGGCCCCACAGCGTCCCGGACAGGATTCTCGACCTTCGTTAATTCGATTCCCGACCGCATGCTCGAAATTCGACTTTTTAAACGGTGTTATCTAGTTACCGTCAACGCGAACAAAAGTTCCCGACAAACTTTTACGGCTGTATAATTGTTCATGATTAAAAGTCAAAACATTCATAGTTAAATCAACAAACTTTGCTGTATTTTGTACTGTATCATTAGCACTTTGCACTCTAAAAGTTTATTTTGCTATTTAAAATGTTTCGAAGGGGACAGTGGAGTGTAAAGTGTTAATTTAATTTGAAAAATGCAAAAATGCTTTAAAAATATCTACTGCTTGGAAAATTTTTGCATTCAATTTTAATGTGCTTTTGTAGCAGGTTTATTTATATAGAGATTCTTCTGGATAGTCGACGACAGACGGGATTGAAATATACATCTTAGAGTTTTTTATTCTGGACTTGCTATAGTGATGTTCGATTTTATTAAATTTTTTACCGTCCAATTTTTAATTGTTCTACTCGATGTGATTCAATTTGGTGCAATTCAATCTCACGCGATTCAACTCCAGACAAATTCCATCCGAATTATTCAATTCGATGGAAATTAAATTCTACGTTATTCGATTCGATGGACATTAAATTCTACGTTATTCGATTCGACACAAATTAATTCAAGATGATTGAATCCCTCACAATTCAATTCCACGCGATTTAATTCCACGTGATTCGATCCCACATAATTCAACTTCACATAACTAAAATTCAACGCAGTTCTACATTATTTATTTCAACGCAATAAAATTCTACATTATTCAGTTCCATTCAATTTATTTCTACACTATTTAACCTGTAACCCTTCTTTACTCTTGTTCTCGGTTCCAAAATATATTCACGTGCCACAAAATGTCTGCAAATTACATGTTTTCGTTTATCAGCCTAACCGTTATGACTGAATGAAAATATGATGCTTGAAATATGCTTCATAATTCATCGAATGTGAAATAAAATACATAAATAATTACATTCAAAAAGCGATGAAAAACATAGGTGTATACAGTGATATCCACAAAGCTGATAGATTAACTTAAATTAGTTAAACGATTAAAAATAACCTAAAAACAAGTCGATAGTATATTCATATCTCAAATATTCACAGATATCTCCTAATTACACCCTACCTATTAACCCATCATCCACATATGAAATGTACACATGTGATCCCAATATACTCGTATGAGTACAGTACTAAATTTTATGATATGAAGAGATGTACTATTATTTTTATTATAACAAAAGGTTTTATTTGCTCAATAAAGTTGTATTGAATATCAGTACAATCATCACTGCCCTTTTTTCCAAAAAACAAATGCTCGTGGAAACAAATGGGTTAACGCATCCATTTTCCATCTGTACTATTGTTTTCCCTAAAATACACCTATACTCTACTCAACATCCTATACTCTATTATATTCGTGACGGAACTGTAGACATCTCTAATTAATTTCGCACTTTTACAATTTTTCGATTGAATTCGAAACGTGACTCCATCGCGGCGCCACTTTCATCTGTTCGCGGCGGTGCGTATTTCGTTCCACAGGCTCTTACTCCGTGCAACTTCTCTCTTCTTGTTCCCTCCTCTTCTTCGCCACCTCTATCACGATGTCGGCTACTTAGGATCAAGTTCCAGCTTCCAGGACGGTAGCCGGCGGCGGAAACACCTCGGAAACAGAAGCTCGTTCTGCCGGCCAGAGAGATGAAAGGGAGCCGCCCAGCTGTGGACGCTGGAAAGGAGAAACGTTGTTGCGACGCAATTATGATCGGGCATAATGGCCCACGAACACACCGGATTGCCTTTGGAGCTCGTATCGAGCCACGCCGCCGGGGAGAAAGAACCTCTTTTTAACGGCCATATCCGTGAACACTACGATTCTGATGCTATATCCTGTTTATTTGTGCGGACCAAGTAACGGGTTCCGCCTTTTTTCTTTTTACTGGATTTCTGTTCGATACTTCAAATTGTACATTATTCAGTCTAACGTATTCTTGTAAATACATTGCCAAGTCTAACGTATTCTTAAACAAATATACTGATGATATAGCTCGAAGAATAAAATAGAGTAAGTAGGTTCTCCGTTTATGGTCAAGTCTGTCGATAATTTTAATCGGACTCTTCAATTAGTTGCATAAAGTGATTCTGGTTATATGACTAGCTTACTTATAAAACGATATGAAGGTAGATATAACTAAAACAAACAATATAACGATAACAGACAATTTATTGGTCATTGATTTGAACTCGCGATAGAGTGAGGTTAGAATCTATCACTTTTCGTCACCTCAAGTCTCGAGAACGAAATAAATAACTTAATATTGCTGAAGATCATATGACTAAATATTGAATATTTATCTAAATAATGAACATTGACAAAATCGATCAAACATCATTTTTATTAAATATTTTTATCAAAATCGGTGACCAAATGACTGACGTCTCACAAGACGCCATTTCTGACAACAATGTTATTCTTATGCTACTGAAGATTCCTTGCCTATTTATTAAAACCAGCTACAACTTACTGAGAATCACACATAAAAAGCTAGCTGATAAGGGTTAATACAATCAAATCTTCCCACATTAATTTTCAATTTCTGCATCTCCCCACATTTTTACATCCCAAAAATTTAGTCTTCGTTGTACTACAAATTATTTAGTCTTCATTGTATTAAAGATTATTTAGTCTTCATTGTACTAAAAATTATTTAGTCTTCATTGTAATAAAAATTATTTAGTATTCATAGTACTAAAAGTCATTTAGTCTACATACTACTCAAAACTACCCTAAAGGCAGCCTTATCTATCGTTCAGCTAATTATCCGTCCACAATGTCGCAGCAAGACATTCCTAATCCAATCTCCGTTAACTGCAACTAATTCGCACAGTATCTTCGTAGAAAACTAGCCAGTCGTAAATATCATTTACACGGGACTGCAAGTTAGATGGAAGGTTCAACACGATGCTCGGAAACGGACGTTTCACGGTCCGACGATTGTCGATCGCGGAAAAACTCGGGGCCGACGTCGGTGAAAATCTGTCCCAGCGGGTTCCTGGAACACGATTCCGCCCTGTCTCGTTGCCGATTTTACGATCAGCCTCGCCTCGAAGCGCCGTCACTGAGAAACCGCGACGAATTCGAACTTTCGGGCAGATCGTAAATAAAATTCACGACCCGGAGTCCTCCCTCCCACGCTTTGCGTAACCGCTTTATTATGCCGTAAATCAAAGTGCCCCGGGTGCACGAACGCCCGAGGGCACAGATTTCACGTCGATCCGTATGTTCGTGAAAATTCTTCGGAACAAAAAAGGGAAAATTGTAATCGGTGAAATACCCTTCGGACACTTTAATAATACTTGAAATTTGGTTGGTTTTTAACAGTGTCAGACGCATGCATTTTGTATTATGGTAGTAATACATTCATGAAGGTAAGGTAAATTATTAATCATTAATGACCAATATTTAAATTCGTTATGTATGTCAAATACAACGATTATATGTTAAATACGGTGGTTTCGCAATTATTAATTTATGATTCGATAGGTGTTAATTATAATTATATTAATTGGTATTAGAAGGTGGTAGTAGGTGTTGATAGGTATGTCATGTATTCAAAATTGATATCTGTTATCAAACAATTTCTGATCTAAAATATAATAAAATATTTTATCGTATAAAAAAATCTTGTTACATAAAAATGCCTATTTTTAAAGGATCAGATTCTTAAATGAACTTAGACAACTTAGATGACTATGCAAAGTGGTTTCTATTTTTAAGTTTACGATTAGAATTGTTTCCTCTTATGCTGAACTTTTTAGAACAAATGTAATGATTCATTTAAAAGTTAATAAAAACTCCCAAATAGAATATTTTCCAGGTTTTTAAATGCATCAATA